TATAAGCTGTTCAGAGGGGCAGTGTGTGTTTGCGCGTGTGTGCCTGTGTGTGTGTGTGAAAGAGAGAGAGAGAGTTATAAAAAAGGGAAATAGAGTGAGAGTGTCGGGCTATCAGCTCATGACAGTGAAAAGACAGATGACCCTGAGTAGAGGAACAGCCTCCCTGCCTGTGTAACATCTATCATCACTGAACAGACTTGTCTTCAACTGTGCCCTGCGCTTGCTCGTGAGCGTGTCTGTGTGTGTGCGCGCGTGCAGTAATTACCTGTAGGTGAGACTCATGCTTAGCTGGAAATGACTTTGTCTGGCCTGTAACTGCAGTTTAACTGCAGCAAAAGTATGCATTCTGACATGCTTATTCATCTGCGTTCCCACATACAGTGCTGTACAAAAGTCTTGAGCTTCCACTTATTTCATCATATTTTGCTAGGAAAATGGGAAATAGGTGCAAAGACTTGCTGTGCAAAAACACATAGGCATACAGTTTGTAAGGCAAAAACTACTTCTACTTCTTCAAGTGGTCTTCAGGAATCGTTCTCCAGGCTTCTTGGATACAACTTTTGTTTTTTCAATAGGAAGAGGGCCATGTGACACATCAAACTTATTGGTAATGTCACAAGAAAAACAATGGTGTGCTTGGTTTCAACGTAACTTTATTCTTTCATGAGTTATTTACAAGTTTCTGAGTACTTATAATATGTGTTCAATGTGCTGCCGATTGTGTTGGATTGTCAATGCAACCCTCTTCTCCCACTCTTCACACACTGATAGCAACAACGCAGGAAAAATGCCAGCACAGGTGATGCACATCTCGTATCTTCACACCATAGACAATTGCCTTCAGATGACCCCAAAGATAAAAGTCTAAGGGGGTCAGATTGGGAGACCTTGGGGGCCATTCAACTGGCCCACGACGGCCAATCCACTTTCCAGGAAACTGTTCATCTAGGAAGGCTTGGACCTGGCATCCATAATGTGGTGGTGCACCATCTTGCTGGAAAAACGCAGGGAACGTGCCAGCTAAGCTGTGGGCTCTTGCTGAATGAAGCTAGGACAGCCACTGATGTTTCTCCATTAGTGACAGTTTTCTTGCGTTCACCAGATATCAACACAATTTCGATCCGCCCCTCACGTGTTAACCTCTTTGACATGTCAATAGCTGTGAACAAAGAGAAACTTGTAAATAACTCATGAAAGAATAAAGTTACGTTGAAACCAAGTACACCATTGTTTTTCTTGTGAAATTACCAATAGGTTTGATGTGTCACATGGCCCTCTTCCTATTGAAAAAACAAAAGTTGTATCCAACCGACTTCTAAATGGCCACCATGGTCACCACCCATCTTGAGGAGTTTGCCCCCTCACATATACTAATGTGCCACAACAGGACTTTAATATCACCAACCATTCCCATTTTATTACGGTGTGTCCATATAAATGGCCCACCCTGTACATCAAACATTGCATTTACAAAGCTTTTTGGAGATAAAATGTTTGTATAACTCCTGATGTCTACTAATTATATCAAAAACTTTCCTAAAGTATATATATTAATGTTTTTGGACCCGTCAGCATTACAAAGAGTGTAGACATGCACTAAAAGATATGCACATTTTTTAAAAAAAAAGTGTTTAAAAAGTGTCCACAATAAAATGTGTTTACAGCCCTCAGCTGCTCAGTTCAAGCAGCAATGTTCAACTTCTAGTCCCCTGAAAGAGTAAATACTGTGCATACCTGCGCCTGATGTGTGATTGTTGTTATGGGTGATTCAAGTGTTGTTTGAACCCTACTCCTACTCATTTTCCTGTCACTCTGTTTGAGCTACACCAAAAGAAAAATCCAAACCTGAAACCCTGGTGAAAGCTAGAGAAAGGGCAAGATTGTCAGGCAGGGAGTAAGGCGCAGATGCAGAGAACCATAAAGAAAACATCCTTGTGAAGAAACCCCCCCTCCCCCCTCAAAAACGTTTTTTTGGAACGGCACTGTGCCATTTGACACATCAGAGAAGAGTGCACGATTGATCATTTGTCGTTTATTTACCCCCTGTTCATCCTACCTGAATAGCAGTGGAGCAATACAGAAATAAATGGAGAAAGTTCACTCTTTTCAGAGATGCCAGGCAGGAACAAAAAGCTGCAAATAATTCAGTTTAAGAAAGACGGGGGGGAAAAAAATCTCATCTGACTAGTTGACAGACAGCGCTCACCTGTCCTCAAAAGACAGCAGGCCTCCTCGACATTTGTATGAGGTACTCAGCAGTATCCCCAGGGGGACACCTAGGCTTTGATACTGCATCAGTTTAGTGTAGTGGTTGTCAGAGGAATACGTGAAAAAGATGAAGAGGCAAGGGCAGAGCTGTAGAGATGGAAGACGCAGACTCAGGTGAGGGGTATGGCGGGGGTGGGAAAGGGAAGGGCAGGGGAACAAAAGAGAAGTAACAGAGGTGGGAGCCTGGAGAGAGTGGCGAAGGTTTGAAGAATAGAAAAAGCGCAACAATGTGGGGTTAGACAGATATAGAGGAGGGTGAAGAAAGACAAAAGAGGGGTGGGATGTTGAACAGTCAGAGAAGAAAGTACGAGGGTGCAATTCAGCCTGACCTTTTCACCGAGCTGTGTTCAGAATGGCTTATGTTGTTCGATATTTTTGTGATGTTTTTTATTTTAGAAAGAAAAGAGAATTTTTTAAAAAAGTAGATTTTTCTGGCTGAGTTAATGCTTATGGCTGCTCTTTATTTGGTGATTTTTTTTTAGAACCTCCCTCTAAATCTGTGAAAGTGAACATGGACTCTTGATGATTAAGAGCTTCTTGTTTCTGCTACCATGTCTGCCTTTCCACTGTCTTCCATCCTTCTTCTTTTCTTGTTATGCAGACTGTGAACTCTGAGGTTGTCTGTGTGGTTTTCAGACAAGAGGGTGGTATTTCTCGGCTCACCTTTTGAAAATGTCATAAAGAAGGTGAGATACACAGTCCCCCTTTATGCACTTCTGTCAAAATATCACAACCTGGCAGAGAAATGTTAATGCAGGAATTTACTTTATTGAAACAAGTTTGATTATTCTAGTTGCTTTCCGGCGTTCTTTCTCTCTGCTTTCTCTGTGTGAAATGCGTCAACTCTAGTTTAATAGTTGAAATAGTTTAAGTCTATTTTGCAAACAATCTAGCTCCGTGTAGTCGTGTTAATACGCTTCTAATTGCAGGGGAACTTTTAAGAGTAAAGACTTGGTCGAAATGTCCAAGTCAGAGTCAGCGCCACATTTTTATTGATCAGAGAGTGTGACTGTTTGCCAGTGGATTGATGATGGCTTGCATTTTAAAAGGCAAAGAAGTGCATAAACAGAACAAAAGGTTTATCCACGAATTATGTTTAGCCACAGATCATGTAACCCTTTAGGTTACATGAGTTATGCCCATGAATGCAGTTAGTGTTCCAGTGTGTTTTGTGGTTAATTGCTTGTGTAATTGCTGTTGTCTGAAAAGTAAATTGTTAACCTCAGGTAAGTGCTAATCCCAAAATGAGAATGTCGGGGAATTAAAATGTCTGTTTAGAAAATTTATCTTTTTTTTTTCTACCACTCAATAAAAAAGTATTTGAACTACAAACCACATCAGTAGCCCCACAGACATTCAATTACCGTCATGTTTGTGCAGAGCTATCATAAAGTAAACTGATGTGCTTTGTTTTCCCGATGCTTTTCACACATGGCCACAAAATAGAATAAAAACGTCTTGATCTTTGTTCGGAGACTGTTTTCATGTCTGGTGGACTATAGAGAAGTCTGACATCTCGAGCAGGGAAATGTGGCAAACTGGCAAAAGGAGTACAGCGGACTCCAAGCAATTAATGACTATGTTAATATAAGAGCCCGAGGTGCATGGATTGAGCTTTAGGAAGGCAAAGAAAGATGCTCCAAGCAGGTCTGGCTCTTTGTAAGAATCCCTTCCAAAAAACTGTCTCCTTTTTTCCTAAATGCTGTGACTTTCAGGTGAGACAAGGAATAGAGGCCACGCACCGGAGACCAAAGACATGCTGGTACAAAGACCTGATACTGTTTAATGGAGTGTGTTCCCAAATGGGACAGTTAATTACAAGACGGCTTTGGTTGAACTCCCCCCTGTTGTTTGTGTGTGTTTGAATCCAATCCTGTGCCATCACAACATTGCCTCTTTCGGAGGCTAATAGTTAATAGTCCGGCCTTAAACTGTGACTTTTAACAGCATCTACCTACGGTCAGCTCTGCTGCACGTAACATTCAAACTTTCTTGTGGACGTCCACAAATCTCTTGGTAGTGAAGTCTCCCCCTGACTTCATCATACAGGATGATAAGGTGGACTTTTTGTTTTGTGTGGTAGTTTGTTATCGCCTCACGTTGTTGATTTAAAACCTTCTTTATAAAGAATTATTGTAGAAATGACTTGTCATTAAAATCGAGTCCTCGGTGGATACTGTGGGGTAGCTGCTGTGTATTGTGACAGTTGGTTCTGACTGTCACTTTTTTTGGTTTAATTTTCCTTCTCCTGTTTTTTTTTGTCTGTCTCATTTTCTTTTCATTCTGTGTTTTTTTTTAAAGCCAACTATTTTTGCAGCAATGGACTATTTTTTTATTCAATAATAGAGATGAAAGATTCTAAATGTTCACATTGGGTTTCAATCAGACTAAAATAGTGTGAATAACAGCTTTATGCTATGCAGGAAGGTTGTGTAGAAGGAGTAGTTTACTACGTTGCATCTAATTGCTACAAATTATTGTTTTGCATTCTGCCAAGTTATTGTTCGGACTATGTTTGTGCACTTTAGTTTGTTACACATGGTATCACACAGAATTCAAGGAATTACTGGGGTATTGAGAAGCAGCTGGCATCTTCACTTTACTGTGTAATGGGTCAGCTATATAATCGCTAACCAGCGAAGGCAATGATGAGATTCCACAAGTGGAGAATAGCGGGACGCGGGGAAGACGTGTTTATGATGAAGTTTTTGTTCATCCCTCCCCTCCTCTAGGGAACCCTGCCGTCCAACCAGCCTGCTGCCTGCTGAGTGGAGCGCCGGGTTGGGCATGGGGAAGGAAGATGACCCTTTACCTCTGGGACTGGAAACCCTACCACTAAGACTCATGCAGCAGGAGTGCACTGCTGTCAAAACCCTGCTTCTAAGGCTGAGACGGACACTGCAGGAGGTGAGATAATGCACATGGCTAACAGTCAGCAGCACATAAGCTCTTCTCGACAAGGACATACAAACAAATGAAGGAAGATTAGCTTTACATTTAGTGAGTCTGGCATATTTGGCTTCTACAGAGCACATAAGGTAGACCACACCGACAGCCCTTATCAAGTTAGAAACGCATCAAATTGTTTTAAACCAGTGAGGATAAGGGTCTAGCAAACAATGAAAAGCAATTTCATCTGGAACCACAGTGCACCACGCTGCTCTTACAAATTTTTCACCCCCTATTTTAATCAGGCTCTATTTCAGTTCCATGAAATCTGGTCAAAGTGGCTGCTTTCCCGTCTCTAAAAGGTCCATTTAATCACTTTGTTTTGTTAATTTAATCAGATTCTACGTTTAGAGGGGGAAACTGGGAGACTTTAAGTATCTGCCAGTTTATGCTTTACATGTACACAACACACACACATATTATCCCTCCTGTTTCAGGCTATAAATCTCCTCTTTAAATGTTTTAGCCTGGTTAAAGCTAACGTTTCACCCCAAGCTACGTGTCTGTCTCAGTGTGAATGTTTGGAACCAACTTAAATTACATCCAAACCATTATGGACACGATTAGCTGAAACAGTCACTTAGTAAAGCACTGACACGTTGGAATACCTTTACAAGGTCTAACAATATAAACCAGGAAACCACATTATCTGCCATCCTCTGCGCTTACATATCCTCTTTAGATGCCAGACTCCACACGTTTTTGAGGGGTCTCGGGTAATTACAAGATGCAGATGCAAATTTTTGTTTTACATTTTAGTCCAAATCAGGATCCAGAAAGATCATAACACTTTGCTCGAAAATGACAGATGCCGAAATGATTGTTTTCTGAAGTTTTGCGAGCACAGTGTCAGTAGGAGTCATTTGGAAGGGGGTGTTGATGGTGTTTAATATATACAGTGAATGTTTTGTTTTAGAGTGAACGTGCTAATATTTTCACTAATACCCTTTGGCAGTGTATAATACATGCCAACATACCAATAAGGTATGTTAGCAATAGCATAAGCTCAGAAAGAACATCCATTAGCTTTGATTGTCTGATGCTTTGGGTTTTTTTAAAATCTACATGGGTGACTGACCCAACCATATATGGAAGTATTATACAGACCCGTACTCAAAATACAAATACACAAAAAGATAAAAGGGTGACCAGACCTTCCCTAAAACCACACCATTAGTATCTCTAAACTAAGATCAAAGCCTGCTGTGAATTACAGTCCACAGAGGCATATATATGGCTTTCTCCTGATTTCTTTCCTGCTCATATCTCTGTTTTTCTCCCAGGACCTCTGTGAGAGAGACATGAGACATGTAAATGAAATAATAATTTGTAGAGAGAGAGGTAAACTAAAGTGGTGATGGAAAAAAACTAAAGGAGTGCAACAGAGAGAGAGGGTACACAGCAGCAGAACATGAATATGAAAGAGGCGTTTCTTTGCCCTCTTTGCTTGCTCTGTTGTGTCATTAACTTGCAAATTTTGTTACCTTCCAAAAGCAGACATAAACCATTCTGCAACAAGGGGAAGGTGACTCGACATGTCTGTTTTTTTTGCATTTCATTTGCCTGACCTTCTGGTATTGAACCCCAGTCTTTGGCTTTGTTTAACTTAACTTATAGCCTCTTGCGTTCACCTTTGCGTAATACACTTGTGTCTGCTTTTGCAAGCTTTTGCCAATCAATAGCAGGTGCCAATACTTTTCACACTTTTGTCCACTTCAAACGTCCTATCACTGGGCCGAAGCACAGCCAAGTAGACAGGGTCATAACTCTGCAGAATGTGGAACCTGGCATGTGAAACTTTGGGATTCCTGCTGTCAGTCCTCTGTGTGTGCAAAGGTGCAGGGACTGTAATTTGTTCACTTTTTACTTTATTTATTGGAAATTCAACTTCAAATCAAATCATCATTACATACATCGGTCACATAGAGATTCTTTTATCTAATGTCTAATCAAAACTACATTTGGTGATTGAGAAGACCTCCCCGTTGCTGTGTCACCCTATCAGAGGTTATGAAATCAAAAGGCACTCAGTTTATGGTGGTGATAGTCCACAGGCTACCCAAAGATTTTGTCTTCCACCTAATTATGCTTATTGACTTGCAAGCTTTCAGTGCAGACCTGTGAATTTTCCCCTCTGAAGTAACACACTAGTTAATCAATTTTGGGGACTTTTGAGGCTCAATAAAAACCCTAAATTGAGCTTAAGTCACCAATGAATTGAAGTATAGGTGAATCAAAATTCACTTACTTCACTTACATTAAAAAATTAGTCCCAAATTTTGAGCATTTCATCAGTCTGGGTTGAAAATTAAGCTCTTAATATAATTTTTATTTTTCAACTATCCATTGGTTTGTGATTGTTGAAAAGGACTTTGGTCATTATTTTCAGCTGCTTTGAGGTACTGAAGCTCAGATGTGTTGTTCCGCACTCATGTTAGAGCGATACTATCATGGGTTTACATCTCTACAGTGTCTTCTTTGAATTGCAAATAAATGGAAAGTTATGGAAATTCACTTATAATGTATTTCAAACTGAAAACCTCAAGTCCCCAAAACCATAGCCTGAAATTCTGGAAAATCTTTACAGTTACTTAACGTCGACCATATAATTCAGATTACTGTGTTTTTGGCTTCTGTCTAATTTCCATTGTTTTTTCAAGTGCCACAAAAACATGCAAAACCACTCGATTTAGGTGCTTTCAGAGATTACTTGAGTTGAAATTCTCTGCAGAACTAAACTTATAGACTTATGAACTAAACTTTAATGATTTGAAGGAAAGAGAACTCGCCATGTCTTAACCTTATGTCAAAGTTATGGCAGGGGGAAACAAAACACAGAATTCCCCGTGGTTCAGCTCCTAAGGCTCTAGATACATCAAACAGATTTGAGTTGGGTTCCCAGGAGACTGGAGACACTATTGCATATCTTCTTCCCTTCCATGCGCGAGTTTTTGCAAGAATAATTTTTCCCCCCAAAAAAGAAGGCTCATCAGTAGGCCTCAGTGGTCCACTGCAGAAACCTTACTGAAGAACCTAGTTGACACATCGCAACAATTCATGGAAGATGGAGGGTGAGATTAACAGACCAGACTCTCAAAGCCCCAGAGACATATTTAGATATCAACTCCCAAATAGTAAGATCTTTGGAGAGCTTACCAAAAAGGCCAACATTGAAAGTACATTAAAAGATTTGAATGTGAGAGCATCACGTCTCAGAAAAAATAGATTTGCATAATTGAAAGTTTACATTGACACCTAACATTGACCTTTTAATCCAGAATCCAGCCTTGATTTTTGGGACAGCCTAGCTGTGAGCGATCTACACCTTTGAATTCAGGAGCTTGTAAAAGTTATCAAGACACGACTGGGCTGCACACAGCTGTTGTGAGCTTATGTGATGTAAATTGATGCAGTTTCCCATTCTTTATAAACATATAGACTATAATATCTGTAGAACAGGATTAACAACTGTTTTAAAAGAATTTTCTTTTTATCAGTTAGTTAAGAGCAACGTATTTTCCAGTGGGGTTGGATAAAAATTTCTTATGGCACCAAAAATTCAAAAAATTGAGGAAAAACAATTTATATAGCTTCCGATTTCAAATTGAAATGATACAAACGATACTAATAAAAATCAAAATACTAGCACAAGCAGTAAGATTTGATGTCAAAAATAATAACAAAGGATTGTCCTATACAAATAAAAGATGCTTATCATTATGCAGACACAAACAATTTGAACCATGAACACTCCTTTCAGATATTTAGTTTTTTGAACAGTGTTTTCTGTCGGCTGCATGGACGAACATTTGTAAAATGCCACTGTCTGTGTCCAGAAATGTTTCCTATGATGATCTCCATTTGTCAGTGTCAGCCATGGATTCTAGGAAGACCGTGACAGACTTTTTGTTACGGCTTACACTCAGGCTGCTTCCTCCACCACGTTGTCAGAATGCGGATATAACAGAATGACATTGAAAATGCTGTTTCTTGCAGTTCCGATTGTGCCATCCAAATCTGTTAAAACAGTTTTTGGAAAGAACAGTGCCATTCAGAACCAGCTAATGTGCTCCCATCAGCATTTCCAAAAGTTCTCATGAACTTCTACAAATAAATGTCTGTTGGATTGTATAGATAGGTGTGGAACACAGCAAAGCGGAGTAATTCAATGTCCTCGCTTAACCGCATTACAGTATTTTAAAGCAATTTCTATAAAAAAAGACGAATATCTGTCAGAGAGCGAGCTGGTATGAATGCCCCTTGAGTTATTTGAAGGTTTTCATTTCTTGATTTAACTCATGTGTGGATGTGATTAAAGGTGCGCATCAAACTACAAAACCTGCTTTCCTTTCTTAGGCCATTCATCATCTGTAGACATTTAGTTTCAGTGCAGTGCCAGTCATTAAATCCATGGCTCCCCGGCAGCCAATTCCTAAATCTAAGAGCCTTTTTACTGAGCCACGTCTAATTGTGGGGACAGTTGTGTGTTAAGGCCTGTGGGACAGGGGTGACCTTAAAGAGGAGTGTGTTAGAAGGAGACAGAGTGAGAGTGTGTATGTGTGTTTAGGGGGGTGTCACTGAGTACACGCCTGTCTGTCTACATAGGAAAAGGCATTGATCACCAATGACACATTGAGGGCCTGACGCCACAGCACACCTATAACTCTGATAGGGAGGCATGCTTCTTTAAAAGGTCAGCCAAACCAATAAAGCATCAAGTTTATGCTGTGCAAAGATTTGGGCTCAAGTGTTTCTCAGAACCTCCTTCAAAACCAATGAGACAGCTGGAATCTTGTGAGGTTCGCAAGATCACAATCGCAAGGAAATTGATCTTGTCAGGCTTCAAGCTAAGTGGCTGATCCTGAGTTGATCAGACCAAGTCAGCATCCTAGGAGGAAACATTGGCAGCTGTGCCGAGAGACTTGCAGACTACAAGTAACCATAACTTTAATCTAACCTTACCCTAAGATTATCATTAAATGAATTTAACTGAAATCCCAACCTAACCTTGTAACAGTGAAGTGGGCATGTCATGTTTTGTAGTGGCTGTGCTGTGCATCTGCAGGCAGACCAACTTGGCTTTTTAAGTGTGATTGTTTAGGAGATTAGTGTAACCGCTTCTATAGCATGTGTGATGTCAAAAGTGGAGATTATCTTAATTAAGAGAAGAGCAAAGAATACAAGCCAAGTGCTTTCTATCTTTCAAAGATCTTTAGAGAGCAGAATGTCGCGTTTCCTCTTTGATGATCTCTTACTTCCTCATATGATTCAGTAATGTGATCTAAAATGTCATGACAGGGAGACACTCACCAAATCACCTGCCAAGTATGTTTTTTAAAGTATTTGCCCTTTTTAAAATGAAAGCCATGGACAACATCATCTCAGAATGTTTGTGAAAGAAACCATCTGTCAAATTAGGTTATTTAAAAGCTGAAAGTAGGCTAACACTATGCACATATGATTAAACTTTAGCCTAATAATCCAGTTTTTATAGACTTCTTACTGTATATGTAACTCTGGTCATTTCGCCTAACAACAGTGGGGTTAGTTGGCATATAAATCTCCTAAAGGGCAAAATATGGCAAGGAATAGACTTCACCAAATATTCAAGTGGAGATAATGGGTTTTTTTTTAGATGATACTTATTTTTACCTTTCCTCTTTCCTTCTCTTGTCATATCTTCCATCTGTGTACTGTCATGTCCCTACCATGCAAAAGTACACATGTATAGCAGCAGTCCTAGCTTGAGACACGATTTTCCTCTCTGCTTTCCCATATGACCCATCAGGAGCCCTCAGCAGTGATCTATATACCCGCATATGCTCTTCTTAAGGGACGGTGTTTCTGTGCACCTGTGTGCAGATTGTACATGATTGCACATGCTCCTTTTGTCACATGAAAACAGGCTGTGTGCGCGTGTGTGTGTGTGTGTGTGTGTGCGCGCGTGTGCATTTTGGATCCCCTTCTGGCTGCCTCTGCTCTCTGCCCACTAGATAACTGTGCTGAGAAGCAGTGCCAAAAAGCGTCAAATCACAACTGTCATCAGAAAAAAAGAGCTTTTGTAAGAAACCAGGTGAAAATAATGCAGCTGGCAACATGAAATTGTTCTGATACAGACATGTTACCTACATTTACATTTTTGAGGTCATTCAAATGTAGATGAATCAGATTTTCTGTAAAAATATATGAAAAGTCAGGGATGAAAATGAGCACCTGTCTTCAGAACTAACATTTTTTATACCTTCCTCTGTTTTCATACTGAATGTTTAGCGAGGCTTTTGTAATACTGCCTAACTGTGAATATATTTAGCAGAAAAAGAAGAGTTAAAAACAAAATTCCTTAATGTTGTAATGTTGTCATTTTAAGCACCTGACTGGTTTATCTTCAGCACAGTACAGCACGCAAACCTCATCGTGATGTTCTGGTTATAACCATGTTTTTGTCTTTTTGCAGAGCACAGAGACAAGTCCTGCCAGCAGCCTTCAGTCTCTACCCATCAGCCCTTGCAGTGAAAAATCTCTTCCGTTTAAGGTAACACGAAGCAGTCTGTTTTATACTAAATTTAGCGATTTGTTCAGTGAGAACGGCTGTATTACAAGCATCAAATTTACAGATCCATTAAAAGTGTGAGGCAATGAAAAATATTAATAAAAATGTCCTCCCAGCTTTATATCTTACAAAAACAGAGCTTATGCTTTCACTTAATACATGTACAGTAAAGTTGTAGTGCTCACTTGTTATTCTTTTTCCATAGCCAACCCTTCACTTCAGTTAGCCAGCTAGTTTAATTAAAAGAACCCAGCAGGCTCGGTGTGATCAAAAATATAAAACTGAATCTTCGTTTGATCCATGTGTCTCGTTCAGTTTTACCCATATCAGAACAATTAACACTTTTTTTTTTCACATCAGCTTCTAATGAATCACAAAAAGATCAAATAGGAAGAAAGAGAGCAGAGCAGCAAGGAAGGCAGAGTGATGGAGAGAGAGAGAAAGAGTTGGAAAAAGGATGATTAAAAGCAGGAGAGTTGCAGATATTGAATGGGAGAGGGGCAACGGCTTTTGATTGTCTTGACAGGCTCCAGATGCCCTCTGTCAACCTTGTCCATCCCAGCCGTGTGATCTGTATGAGATTTATTAATCTCTGTAGGGAGCATGTGCATCATTGCTCAAGTGGGTGCTTATGTGTGAGCGGGATTTAAGTTTACCATGGGAGGTCTTTTGTCGAGCTTTCCCCCCGGATTTATTTGGGTCACATCAGAGGTCTTGTTAGCCTGTTCGAGGAGGGAGGCGTAGTAGAGCCATCAGCTCTGTGGTTCTCATCTTTGATGTGTGTGTGTGTTTTTTAACTGCAACATAATGAAGTTTCCTTTACATACATGAATGTACACACTGGTAGAGGTCTTTTAAAATACAGTCTAGTGATACTTACCCAGAAAATACTGACACACTGCCAACAAATACTGCGTTTGGTTGTCACTAAGTGCACCTGTATGTGTGTACCACTTAATCTTAGGGCTGTGTATAGACTTTGTGTTTGTATAGTTGTCACAGCGTGTTAGTGTTTCACAAAGAGTGGATGTTTGTGTGAGTGTATGCCCTCTTTATTGACCTACATGCTGTATCAGTGGCAGCTGGACGATAAGGAAAAATTAAAAATGTAGGATGGGACGCAGCATGCTGACAGCAGCTCTGGCTGAAAAGTACAGATGGACAGACAGGGAACATGGACCGATTGAAAAGAAGGGATCAAATGGGGTAGAAAAGAGTAGGAAATGGTTTCAGTAAACTATCCAAAACAGACTTGGAGACAGGCAATTGACTATAATCAAAAGATTATTTGACTGGACAGGGGGAACCTGAAATTTCTTTTTGGGGGTAATTTTATCTGATGTGACAGTGGATGTTGAGGAGGCAGAGAAGAAATAAGAGGAAAGATATGGTATGCCATGTCACAAATGTCACTGGATTGAATTGAACCGTGGACATTTGGATTATGTGACATGTACTTTAACCATCTGGCTTAGGCTTTCAATCCTAAAAGCTGTAATTTCCCATCTGTGGAAAAAGGTTGGAGTGCTACTATGTACAGATCAATCAGAGTACTGTAGATTTGTGTTAGAATGTCTACGTTTGATTTTATCTCGACTTTGGAAGCGTGTATCATGCCTCAGTTAAAAACAGAACATTTCCAGTTAATCCCAGTTTTTCATCAAGAGGAATGACACCCACTGGATATTTACACTTTTTTGGAACATTCTCTGCAAAACCAAGAGATGGTTGTGTGGGAAGATCCCATTGGATCGGTAATAGACCAACAACTATAGGGCATTCAAAGCCCCTTAAATCACCTTTCTTCCCCATTCTGATGCTGGGTTTGAAGTCCAGCATCTCTACATCCCTAAACGCACTAAGTTGCTGGCAGGTGATCGGCTGATTAGATAATTGCATTTATGAGCAGTTGAACAGGTGTACTTAATGAAGTGGCCATGATGAGTGTGTGGGTATAGATTGGGAGAGAGCAAGAGAGAGAGATGAAACACTCATTCAGCAGATCCTCTGTGCTTGTCATCAGATCAGGAGAGTTTTCTTAAAGGAGGAAAGGGTCACGATCGATAGAGATAAAAACAAATCAGGGAGAAAGCAGCAAGAATTGCAGGAAATGAGTTTAACTTGAAGATGGGACAGAGGTAGATGACTGAGAGAAGTGTATATATAGGAGAGAGGTAGGTGGTAAAGGCTGAGCTTTTCACAGAGCTAGATGAATTGAAAACAACATAAATACAGAGAGAGTATATCGCCTGAGTAGAAACTTCATATGAGGAAAAAGCTTCAATGTTGAGAAGAGGACATTGTATTTCTTACTTTGGAACAGACTGAAGAAAAGAGATGAGGGAGAAAAGCTGCTGGGAAAAGTGTGGGAGCTATAGCTGAAGTGTAGTCATTCAAGAACAAAGCAATCAGTTTGATGACATTAACTTGATAAGGAAAAGGGGAGGAAATAAACACCGGAGTGCAAGAGGTGGAGGCGAGACCAAGCGATGAACGAGAGATAGAGTTAAAGAAGCCGGTGTTTGAGAAATACTGCGTGAAGATGGAAGAAGAACAAGAGGGAGGGCTGAGAAGAAGAGAATTTGCCCTGGCACTCTAGAAAACGACTCGGCATGTGTAAAAATAATCTACGGTATCCACCTGAGAGGCTGCAGTGTCACAGTGCGACCTAGTTTAATTTAGACCCAATGCATATGACATGATTTTTACCAGATTTTGTCCCAGTTAAAGTATTCTACTGTATCTTAGAAGAAAGTAGCAGAAAAAAGAAATCGCACTAGAGTTGCCGCTAGATTTGCCGCTAGAGGTGTACTCCACCAGTGTGTTCATTAAAGAAAAAAATGTCAAGGGCAGCAAGTTTTGCACCTGATGAAATGTTGTTTTGTGTACACTCACCTTTGCTTCAGCAGCGCGGTGAACTTCTTTTTATAGTGGAACACTTATCATCATGTCAGATGCAGCGTAATTAGAAATTAATAATGCATAATTCTGAGGACTGTGAATTTATAATTACCGACTTTTCCCCACAGTGATGCCCTAATCACTGCGAGAGGGTTAAAAGGATGCATGCTTTCAGGAAAGCACGGAGATATGCGGCTATGTGCGTTATACACACCTTTCTGACACAGACAACACGCAGCTATATCGAGATGCACAAAATGTAATTTCTTTAAGCTGCAGCACAGAACAGACTGCCACTCTCATCTCCCCGTTTCATCCTTTGTCTCGTTTCTGAATCTCTCTTTCCAGATAACCGTTTATCTCTGTTACACTGCGTGAGAAACTGCGCGTTTAGTAATTGTTGTAAGGCTCAAGCATCAAATTCCACTTTTTTTTTTCTTCAAATTTTGCTCCTCTGCATCAGTGGTCCTGTGATACGAGTTCTCGGGTTAAAATCAAAACCGTTGATAGTGAAATTGTAACTCGCCTTTTTACATCTCAAATTATTCATTACGTTTTAGCTCAATGTGGGGTGCTGGCAGAAAAAAAATTACCAATTAGACCATTCTACTGTGTGCTATGATAAAGCCTGGAAAGTTTGCCACCCTGCCCCTGGGCTACCTTAGAACTAGACAGCTGTGTTTCTGATTCCACGACACCTGCTGATAGGAGGAAACCATGGCTCATTATTTGTGATTTGCTAATAGGGTCAGAGAGCGAGAAGTGATATTTTAGAGACAGCTTTAAACCTCGGAAGTACAGATACTGTATATATTATATTATTTCTATCACCACAGCACTCAACTTTTGGACTTCACAGGAAAACATTTTAATGATTTGAAAATTTCCCTACAAGCCAAATGTTTTCTTTCAGTTTTAATGGATGTGGAGTTCTTACTTTACACAGATATGAACTCACTGGATGCTTTATTAGCCAAACCTTGCTAGTACAGCGTTGGACCCCCTTTTGTCCTCAAAACTGACTTAATGATTTGTGGCACTGATTCAACAAGGTGCTCGAAACATTGTACAGAGATTCTGGTGCATATTGACACAATAGCATCAAACAGTTGCTTCATCCATGATGTGAATCTCCCCTTCTGGTACTCTGTTGGACTGACATCACAGTCATGTTCAAGACACCAGTTTGAGATGATCTGAGCTTTGAGACATGCTTAGCTATCGGGCTGGAATAAGCCATCAATACTGGGGAACAGTGTGTTTGTAAAGGGGAGGATATGATCAGCAACAGTTCTCAGGTAGACTGGGACATTTAAACAGTCCTTGCTTGGTACTAAGAGGCCTAAAGTGTGCCAAGACAATATCCCCTACACCATTACACCACCACAAGCCTGAACCGTTGATACAGGCAAGATGGATCCATGCTTTTCCATGTTGTTTTCTGCCAAATTCTGAGCCTACCATCTGAAAGTTGAAATAGAACTTGAGACTCATCAGACCAGGCAACATATTTCAAATCCTCTGTGGGCAGTTTTTGTGAGTTCGTGTAAATTAAAGCCTCAGTTTTCTATTCTTAGCTGACAGGAGGGACACATGGTGTGGTCTTCTACTGCTGTAGCCCATCTGCTACAAGACTCAACATAATGTGCGTTTAGAGATGCTTTTCATACCTTGGTTTTAACAAGTCGTTAGTTGAGTCGCCTTCCTATTAGTGTGAAGCAGTTTGGCCAGTCTTCCTGCCGTATGGCATCAAAATGGCTTTTTCCCCCAGAGAAAAGCTTCTTGCTGGATGGTCTTTTTAGAGCCATTCTCTGTAAACCCTAGAGATGATCGTGTGGGAAAATTCTCAGTGGAACAGCCGTTTCTGAATTACTTAGACGAGTCCATGCAAAATTCAAAGTTAAATCACCTTTCTTCTCTATTCTGATTGGTTCAGCTTGGTTTGAATATCAGCAGGTTTTCTTGATCATGTCCCCAAGCCTAAGTGCATTAAGCTTCTACCACGTGTTTGGCTTGTTAAAGACAGCATTAACAAGCAGTCAATC